GGGGTGCTCGACCCGCAACTGGATCACTTTATCACCTTTGTTCAAACTCGTGTTTATCTTGTGTAAAATCATTTGTACTTGGACGCGTACGGATAATGGTGTGCGGCGTGTCGTACCTTGCGGCCTTTTTTTTTCTTTTCTTTCTTACATTCTCGATACCTTTACACGTTATTGTCATCCATTTACGGGTCGAGGTACTATATTGCTATCTATTAGCTTTTTTGTCTTATACATTCTTTTTTGTTCTATCTTTTTTTGCGATTTTTCTTTTCTTCCTTCCTCGGGGGGTGCGAGGTCGCCCACGCGTCTCCGCAAGACAGTCTTTTTATATTCATATTATTAATTATCGATTATAATTATTACAATAGCCTTTCGATCACGACTTTACTAGCTTTAGATATATTCTAATGTAACGTTCTTTTTTTTCGTCAATTGTTTTCTTTGCGCTATATGTACATATAGCGCGCTATACATATATATATATATTTTTTTTTCGATGTCCCATTTTTTTTGTTCTTTCGATCTTTTTTTCTCTGTATTTTTTTTCTCCTTTACTTGTGATATAGTCGCATTATTGTCGGGATACATTTAGTTGTGCGTGGCGAGTGATCTTGTTGAGACGAAGGCGACTAACGGTACGACGATGTTTATATCCCGAAAATATCTGTTTGTTTGTTTGTAATTCTAATTGTAGTTTCTTAGTAAGTTTTTTTTTCCCCTTTCTTTATTTTTTTTCTGACTCTCCATTCGATCGTGTAATTTCCGTATGGAAAAGAAATAGGCAGTAGCTGTAATAGACCGGAATCATGTTTAGAGTATCAAGGTGGCGACGGTGGGCTCTGTCGTACGTTAAACAAAATTTGTTTAATAATTGTCATTTAACGAAAGTCGTACAGTGAATGAATAAAGAAAAAAGAGAGAGAAAGAGAATGAACGTAAGACGAAGAAGAAAGAAAGATGTCACGACTCGGCCCGCCGTCCCCGTTACGGAGAGCTTATTAACAACAAGGACGCCTTGTTGATAATCGTCAACGAGTATCGCTGCACGGAATAATCAATCAATATATAATGTCGTATTACTATAAATATAATGTAGAGGTAACGCATCTAATATACGATACACATTACAAATGTACACGATTAGACACACACAGACACACTCGCTTCTTTGTTGCGTTTTTCTTCTTTTTTTTTTCTTTCTTTCTTTCTTTCTTGCTTTCTCATCAATCTTATATTATCACACGGAGACACTTCGGATGCATTTCCAATGTACACGATTACACAGTTATTGTATGCATACTTGCGTCGTACGGCAATGACGTCTACACCGTTGTCGACGTAATAAATCCATTACACAATGACCAGCTGTAACGTCGATGCACGAATTCCTTCCTCTCGCGGGTAATTAAATTCGCTCGTCGATGATACACGGAAAGTATGAAATTGCTGTCGGTAAAGAGCGTCTTCGGTGATTTTCAATGAAAAATATAAAATTTTCCCTTCGCTCGCGAGGACGCGTAGCGAAAGATACGATAGTAACGGCAGAGAGAGACGCATCTATTTTTGGCACCGACTACGAGAATAGAAAACGATTATCGAAAACGCTTCGTTTTATCGTTCACGTATTCGTGTATGATAATCTTAAGAGGAGAGAATTCGTTCACGGCGCATCATTGACTAACATTTATTTACGTTCACATAGCTCGAGCGGAAGAGAGTATGGAAGGTAGTGCGTGCGTTTGAATATAATATATGAATGTTCGAGAGAATGTGAGTGCGAGAGAGAGAGAGAGAGAGAGAGAGAGAGAGAGAGAGAGAGAGAGAGCGTAAGAGGATATAAAGAAATCATCATTAAATATTTGTGTGCTCAATTCTAGTTCTTAGCGAAGAGTACCAGTAGCGACTTTTTCGCGACATTAGGTCGACACTCGGTAGAGGGAATGAGTGTTTATAGTGGGTCCACACGGAAGAGAAAAGAAAAAGAAAAAAGGGGGAAAAAAGAAAGAAGCAAAGTCCAGCCAGCTAACGAATTCGCGGAGTTTTTAATACTCTCTCGCGTTTCAAAATTTTATTTGGCGGACGGGTGTGGGTGGGTGGGCGGAATAGAAGGGGGGGTAAGTCTCGTATTCACGTTTACCTTTCGTTCTTTCCTCTTTTCTCTCTTCTTTTCTCTTTCTCTTGAATCCAGCGCGCCTCTCGTCCCACAGAGAGTTCGTCTTTACAATTCTCTTTCATTTATTTTTCCCTCTTTGTTCGCGCACCTCGTGTCGCGGGACAATAATTTCAATGAGAACTTTCGTGCGACTCCTGCGTACTTTGAAAATTAGAAATGCGGAAGAAAAAAGAAGTGTGAGAGAGAGAGAGAGAGAGAGAGAGAGAGAGAGAGAGAGAGAGAGAGAGAGCGCTGATGACAGAAATGAAAAAAAAGATACGAATGACAGCGAGAGAGAATGAGAGCGAAGGAGAGCGAGAGCGGCTTACGAGCGTGTGGATATCTCGCAGGATCATTTTGCGAACGAGATAAAACTAAGGCGAGGAGAGTAATGAATTTTTAGTGTATATTGGTCTGTAATGACGTCGCAGAGCTATACGCATTGTGTGCTTAGCAGACATTGGCTACCCTGTATCACCTTGTTGAATAAAGCTAGGCATATTTAATACAAAACGACACCAGATCTTACCCTGTGGCTTTCCTGAAACATTGAAGATTCTCAAGGGACCTGAATATCTGTCAAACGCAGGATCGTCCGAGTTTGTGATAACACTTGGGGATGGTCCTTTGATAATCTTACATTCCACAAACATACCATACCCACCTTTATATCCAAGAATATCTTTAAAATAGAGAACAGTCGACGAACTAAGGGGACAATGCAAGGTTTTTGCTTCATTGTACGATCCAAAGCTACTAGGGTGAATTCTCTGTAGTGAGTAATTGCATTGTCCCTTTATTTAAATATAATTCATAAGTTATATATATTATCTATATATATTTGTATCCGTAAGAAGAAAACATACGTAGCGTTACGTTAGGCTTAATTCTCATATGAGCCGTTCAGTGCACACATCGGTTAACTCCATAAAACAAAAAGTTGAGAAATGCGATGAAGTAATGTATATTGTAAATTACTTATTATTCAATGGCCAAAACAATTGTGCCGTTTAATGGTGCTAATCTTTATTATTCAGAAAAGTTATTATAAATATAAAAAGTCATGACTATACCAAGTGCTTTGACACTTAAATTTAAGATTTTTCAAAAAGTAGAGTTAATCGATGTGTGCACTGAGCGGCTCATATAGCGTATACGTTTATGAATTACAGTGGAGACTCGGTTATCCGGACCTCAGTATACGGATTCGTGATTATCCGGATTGCCAACTGCGAGCAAATATCTTTGTAGTCTAGTCCGTGCGTGCACGGACATCTTGCGCTGGCTCTACCCGCCCGCGCCCCATGCGTTCTCTTCTTCGCCCTGTTTCATTATTGTTTTAGCTAGACAGTTTCCCTAGAAAGATACCATATGACAAGGTAACTAAAAGATAACCATGTGCGGGCGGCGTAGGTTATCTTTCTAGAGTTAATACAAAAACCGTAATACAAAAACCGCTTTTCTTCATACATTCAATTATCCGGATTTTCGATTATCCCAATGACTTACGACAACAATTAGTCCGGTTAATCGAGTCTCCACTGTATATACAATTGTATGTTACACGTGTCACGCTATGTGTATACGAGAAATATGTACATGGCCGGATATTGGAAACTCAGGTGGAGAGTGAGAGGATGTAGGAGGAGTGAGAGAGAAAGAGAGAGAGAATGAGCGAGCGAAAGAGAAATATTAAGAGCGGTTTAAGAGAGACAAATGCATAATTTAAGAGAGAAATGAGAGAAAGAGAAGAGATGTATCCATCCACAACCAACTTGACCCAGGCTCCTGCCCATCTTCGGTAAGCACCATCCGCTCCTCTGTAGTCCTCTTAATCTACTTCCCCCGTTTAACCGTAAATCGTTAGAGAGAGAGAGAGGGAAAAAAAAAGAAAAAATCATAACCATTTGAATTTTTGACTCTTTGATTTTTTTTTCGAGTTTTTGTCCAGAAAAGAAATTATTTGTTTTAATACGTCTTATCGAATGAAATTACAAAGGAAACGAAAAATCAAGTTAAAATATCCTACGTATATATATTTATATACACTTATGGTTTTTGTGTGTATACATATATGTATAAACACGAGACGTGTGATACCGAACTTCTCAAGTTTAACACACGAAAATCGCGAATTCCGGAAGAATCCTTTATCATCGATCCTTAGGAGAAGGATCTTAATTCCTAATGAAGATCCATCGATCTCCTTAAGGATCGATGCCCTTCTCTCGTTTCGCATGAGCCCATACTTCTAAATATTTTCGAAAAAAAAAAAAAAAAAAAAAGATTCTTTGACTGGATATATTTTTTCCTAGAAACTTTTAGTAAATTCTGAAACTTGCAAGCATATTTATTTCCAAAAAATATTTCTCGCTGGAATATTAAAAAAAAAAAACAAGTGAAAATTCATTCGAGTCATCGTACACAAATAAAGAGCAATCCTAACAATTTCAGTAGTTCAGAAGTACTTCCGGTAAGGGAAAAATTCGAACCTCCAACCCCCCCC